GATCAATATATTTTTTACATAAAATAATATGACTATGTTTTAATATCCCAGCATTTTTGATGCAAAAACAGCAACATGCATAAAGAGGAACAAGAAAAAGGAGAGACACACATCTTGCTATCTTTGTGAGAACTTCACACACACAGCGCTCACTGCATCTCTGCCTCAGTCTGCGCTCGTTTTTTTACACCGGGCAAAAAAAAAAAAATACATTTAATCCAGCTGACGTTAACTTTAGATCACAGTTTGAAATGTACACCGAAGAAAACCTGCATCACGACTTTTATAGTGCGGTCAGAACAAACGTGATCTGAGCAGCATCTGCCTGGTTCACACATGATGGTGGACGGCTGCGCTCGCTCTTATGAACGGAACAGAGAGAAAAGAACGAAAGCKTTTTTATTTTAATCCAGCAGGGAGAAGAATAGAGGTGTTCATCTATGCCTCCTGTGAGCAGCTCCAGCATTTTTTAAAAGAAAAACAACGCRGACACGCTGATTACAGTGCGGTTTCAAAGTGAAAGTAAAAACATGGCGCTCCCGTCCGGAAAAGAAACTTAAACACAKCTGTTCTCCCTCCCCTCATAGTCCAACACAGAGGGTAGAAACAGCTAAACTAGACAGTTAAAACACATTAAAAGTTCATAACTCAACCCTTATTGTTGTTGGCACTCGGTCTCACAACATATCGGCCGATACAAGGAAAACACGCAAATATCGGCCAAAAATATTGGCCGGACGATGTATCGGTCRACCCCAAGTTACCTTTTAATATTTACATCTAAATCTATTAAACTAACCAACACAAACTGTTGATACGGGCAGGGGAATGATTTAGATGAGGGTTTAAAAAACTTCCCAGTAGAATAAACACAGATAAGTACGAATAATACGGTTAAATACACAAAAATTATACTCAAAAACCCAAAAAGCAAAGGAGTGAGTAACTTCCTGCTAACAGAGTTCTGTTTTTAGTAAGAAAGTCAGGATGACATCAATGGAAGCCAAAGCTTTTCCTAATTAAAAAACATTGTATTTAGAAAATAAGTAAAATACTAWAAGTTATTACAAAGGATTTAAGCACCTTTTTTGAGCAAATCCATCTTGTTTTCTTCATCAGYAGATTTTCTGGATCCATTACTCTCCATGTAGTACTGGAAGAACTCCTGTTGACGAAAACAACCACAAAGAACCCCTTTTACTGGGTCTGTACGACAAAATAATTAAATATAGTAAGTTCAGGTGGTACGAAGCCCCAAAACGTTCRCTGCCTGAGACACAAAGTGTATATTAGGTTTGAAGACGAGGAAGTCTTACCATTCTGGGCAGAGTGAAATAAGACAATATGGCCAGAAGAATAACAACGCAGGCTGTGATGAAGTAACCAAAAGCACTGTCCTGCAGTCTGGATCCAGCTGAGGTCAAAAACAAACAGAAAATCATTAAATCAGTGCTAATGCACGCTTCTATTCAAAATCCAGTCCTGTTACAGTCATTTTGTTACTACGTGAAGCTTATTTTACTGTTAAATTGAAAAACAAAACATGGGAAATTAARAGTCACTTTTGCAGATCATGCTGAGTTAAGCACCTGGTTTTAAATGATACAAATAAACAAGATTTAAATCAGTTCCTTTTTCACTGAATGAAAACAGTTACATTTTCACAGAGGAACTTAAAAAAAACAAATAACTTCCAAGAAATAATCATTAATAATCTCAGTTTTGTTGACCGCATATCTTAATTAGCCACTGCTAACGTGTGCGGACGTCCTTTAATCGAACCAGGAAGTTGAATGCATCACAACACTTCTACGGTCATTTCCCACCAGACTAAAAGAAAGGGTTGTGTGTGTCTGGAAGGCGCTACAGTATATATAGTTTTTGTCATTCTGCCCACCACCTGTCCACGAGCTATTTTTATAAGAGAAATGAACTTCAGAGTGAGACATACTGGCCAGCGTGCAGATCATGGAGAAAGCAGCGAAGGTGCCRGCCAGACCCTGTCCGCTCATGATGGGGGTGGTGTAGGAGGCGGGCAAAATCCCGGCCAGCCCGAACAAACTGCTCTGGAAAATCGCCCCAAATGCTGGACAAAAAAAAAAAAAAAGACAAGAAGCTTTAAAGATTTGAACAACTGTGACACTTTTTAAAATGAACTCTGTATGTAACTATGTTTTTGTTTATCCAGAGAAAGTCAYCAACAAAGAAGTGCTGACAGATATCAAAGCGTTCAGGGTCACCCTGCCCTCCTGTCCAAAACAAAACATGAGAACTTCCCTGTRAGAACTTGGGGGTCGGGACGGACCCACTGAGAATAAAGAAGGGATGAACTTATCCCTGCTGTGCAAACACTTATTCTAAACAGTGAGTTTAAAGACTGTTGGGAAGCCCTGAGTGACACTAATGTGTGCAGAGTATGTGTCYATTAAAACTTTTATTTAGATTTCCAGATAAAATGTTCTAATAAAACAATAAAAAATAAGCACTGAATCAGTGACGATCTTTAGCTGTGTGGTTTCAGCTCCTCATGGAAGATTTCTGAAAATTTACCAAATATTTTCTGCCTTTTTGTCATCCTGGCTGTAACACCAGGTTTTTAGTAGCTCGTGGGTATAAGGTTTAGGTTGTACGGAAATATATTATAAACACTGTAATGGTCATTTGCCATTAAATACAGTGCTAGAGCTATTTACATTTTATTTTTTTACAGGTCTTTGTAATTTTGTTTATTTTTTATGATATTGTCTGTGCTGCGTTTTGACCATTTATTAATGTCTGTTCCTGTTGGGTATGACTGTATTTACCATTAATAGTTAAAATGCATTATAATGGCAACAGGGTTCCTACAACTTAAGGCAAGTTATATATAAAACTTTTTAATGCCACTTGAAAGRAAATTTAAGACCAGCTTCACCATAAACAAAAATGTGGAAAAAATAAAAATAAAATTTTTTAAAATATTTACCCAAATGTTTATTTTAACGTAAAACTAGTTGCGGTAAATTTTGTAAATTGTTTAAAAATAAAATAAAAAATGTTACCAATTATTTTAATATGAGACAAATACAGTCATCCTATTTACAATCTGTTACATTTTTAAGACCTCTGAAAGACTGATTTAAGACCTTTTAAGGCTAATTAAGGCCTTATTTTTTGATTGATGAATTCAGTGCCTTTTAGGACTTTTTTGGGCAAAGAGGAAGTGGAAAACGGAAATAACGAATTACCTGCATTAGCCTTTGCCTGAGAGGAGGAGATAAAAGAGCAGCAAGTGATGACATTTTTTTTTTTTTACCTTGGGTGCACACCTGAGTGAGAAAGTTTGGCGTGTGGCGAATACCCTGGATTTCCCATGGATTATTTTTTACTCTGGACAAGAGCGTTGGTGGACTATTATTTTTCTTTCACCTGGGACTGCAGGGGAGGCACGCTAAAGACTACGGACATTGGAGATCTGGTGAGATCGTTCTTTTTTCTTTTTGTTTGCCTTTACTGAGGGGAGGGTTTCCTCGCTTTCCCTGCATTTGAACTTCCACGTGAGGAGGACATTTGGACTGAAACGTTTAAATACTACTTTTTGATTTTCAAAGTTATGTGATCAATATGTTGTTTTGAGAATGTAAAGGGGAATGAAGATTGTTCAGTTGAGGGGAAATAAGCGATTGAAAGATAAAAGTTGAAAACTGCATCGGTTGTTGTGATTTTTTTCAGTTAATTTTTTATTATTATTATTGCATTCATTTGGGCTATTTGTTATTCTTGGACAGATGTGGGATTCGTTCTTCACTAAAGCCCATTCAACTTGATAACTTTACAGCTCCAGGAATCCACTCCCGACCTTAATAAGCGTTTATGTTATTAACCCTAAAACAGTTGGTTTTGGGCWAGTTGTTACATCTATGTTATTTTTAGGTGTTTGAGATGACAACTAGCCCCAAAACTAAGACATATGATCATCCTGTTGCCTAGTTGTGTCATAAAATGTGTTATAGAGTGACGAGTGATGAATATCTACCCCTTCATTTTTCACAATTTGATATTGAAACCCATTCTTTGATCTGCTATGAACGCTCTATAGCCATGAACTGAGCCTGATTTTATACACCTGTTGTCAACATGACCTCCAGATTTCACACAGAACCAAATGGGAGCACTTTCTACTGTAATATTTATCCACGAAACATCACTCACAGTTGATGCAGACAATTTTGATCATAGTGAGGACAAAGAAGGGCAGAGGCTCCATGTCCACTTTGACAAACACCGCTGTCAGCATGAAAACCAGCAGGATGACGGTTAAACAGCCTGAGATTCGCAGCTTCTGTGGAATCCTAAAGCAAACAGAAAAAAAAGTTCAAAGACTCACAGCTACATGCATTCAGTTTGAGGGAAAAGTGTCAACACAAAACACTTACTTTTAAAACTTAAGATTAAAAAACAATCGGATTTTTCACAGAAGGGTCAAGTACTTAGAAAATAAAAAGGACAATGAAAGAGAATTGGTATATTTTGCATTATAAGGAAATGGTCAGGAAACTTCATTCAATTGTTTTCTGATCTGGATAAAAATCATGTTTCTTTATGATAAAAATGTCAATTCAGCAGTAAATAAAAATTGTTATGTCAGTCAAAAAATGTGCACGCACGTGTTCTGAGGAAAGAGGGTGAAAATAGCAGAAATAACATTTGGAAACCAAACAGCTAGACAAAAACAAAGTGAAAAAGAAGACCGTGGGGGAAGTAGAAAACATAAATAGCATTCCTGAGTGCGTTTGTTCACAGTGAGTCCACACCAGACCTCTCTGTGTGATTTTAATTAAAGAAAACAACACCAATCCCAAAAGGAGGTTTAGTTACATGTGGCAGTTTAGATAGGAGGAGGAGAGCAGGCAGGCAGACTCATGATGGATTTGTTAAAAAAACAAGATTTAGTCATTTGTACGTCACAAATTCTTATAGAAGCTACAATTGTCTGACTGATATTAAAGTTTCCTTTTCCCTCCATTTTTTGTGTCAAATCAAACATTTAATCTATTTTGCATCTGATGTAACAGATTTTAAACTACGTACTTCAATAAAAAGGTAGTTACCACTGTCTCATTATACGAGATGTTGGTATACTAGATGATTTAAGAAAATTGCAAGCCTTTTGACTGAAGTTTGCCTTTAGATGAACAATCAGGACAAAATTAGTGTTTCACAAGAATGAAAAATAAAGGTTTCATGAATACTGCTGACACTCAATTCTAATAAAAGCTTATAAAAAACAACCTTTGATTAGCATCAATGCTGTGTTCCTATGAGAAACAAAAAAAGATCGGACTGACTCAGCTGACACTTCAAAACAAGGAGAGGAAGATTAATTTAAATGAATTTTATGTGAGAAAAACTGTTCTTTTTATAAACATTTGCACTTATCTAGCTTTAATTCTGTTTCCAAATTGTGGAAATAAATACAAATAAAAACGCACAGAATGGCTTTCTTCTCTGAGAGCATCATGATGGGAAAAAGTGCGTACCTCTGATGAATGAAAGAGTTGAGGCAGGTAAAGATGAGCAGAGGCACCATGGCACAAAGCGTCATGACGTTGTTAAACTTGGACTCGAGCACGTTGCGAGTTTCTCCTGTGGTTGCGTTGCTCATTGTGGAGTTCAACGGAGCGTCCTTCAGTCTGCTTGTGAAGTACTAAAGGAAAAAAAGCACATATTTTAGATCTGTTAGAATAATTCTGTTATTACCAAACAGCAGCAGAGTCACAAGTTTGCATCATGTGAAATATAAAATTACAATATGTCAAGTTCTCATGCTCGCCTCCAGTCATTGTTACATAAGAGTTGGAATTCTGCTCAACTTTAATGTCTTTAGTCCTAACAAAGAAAATGCTTCAGGAAAACAAATAACACACAACAACAAAACTTTAATTTCACTTAGCTGGAAATTTTTGACATTTTGAGCCAGGGCAGATGAACAAAAAGATCTTTCTTGGATTTAAGTTAGATGACTAAGTGGAGCCCAGTCTTTTAGTTAATATTCAACATTTGATTTTTTTTTTACATCTTGGATTAGAAGCATTTGCCAACCAACTGTCTCACATTTAAGAGAATTAAATGTCTTTAATCATACCATTGTCGCTGTCATGAAGAAATTCCACGGTAAGAGAGTTCCCAGGCCCAGGATGAAGAAAATAATCCAYACTGCGTTGTATCTGTGAACACAGCAAAAAGGACAGTACATCAATCGAGCCATTCATCTTTACATCAACAAACAGCTTATATACCGAACCTCATCCGTGCCTAATTTAGAACATACAGATGTTTAAACTGAGGTCATGGCTTGACACAAAGATAACTTCCTGTCTTTTAGAAGAACTTCTCTTACTTGTCCCGAGGCATGTTGATGGCCGTCATGGTTCTCAGACTGTCGCTCGTTTGTTCTCACTGTTTGATGGAGATGGCCCCAGTTCTGCAGTGATCAGAAAGATGAATATGTTTAAAAAAAGATAAAGCATTTATTGTTTTAACTAATGAAGCAGCGTGGCAAATAAAAGCCATCTTTCATACATGATGTTCTTCAGGAAAGACACTTTACTTTGCACTTGGCTGAACAAGGATGCATTTTGGATGCAGTTTATGTTAACAAGTGTTAAGACATGTTTTATTTCCACTGTTAATTTATTGCCTTTATATACAGACCACCAAACATTTGCTGTAGTTTACTGAATGAACAAATTGCTATTTTCCAGACTGGGTGAAGATATGGTTTATAAAAAGAGCTTCATCTCAAAGCCAGACATTCAGCATGAACTGGCACAGGCAAAGAAAACATCTTCTAACAAACCCAATAAGATGTTGGTTTTGTTGTTTGCATCTTTATTACCACAACTATAAAACACTAGGTTTTCTTTATTTGAACACACAGATTATTCCTCATTCCCATTTATCTCTCTAAGACAACCTGAAACTCTAGACATTTAGGTCAAAAAGTCTGGCCACAACCATAGAAGCTGGTTAAACCCACGAGCAACACATAACATTTTAAAACAATCTGTGGTAAAGTAGCACTTGTGAAATTTAAAAAAAGTACTTCATATATGAGAATCATCATCCCAAAACACATCATTCTTCTTCGCTGATGTTAAAGCATTTTAGAAAATAAAAACTACATATAAACGCATTCCTCCAGGAGGAAACTTACTTAAAGATGAGATCGAGGCAGCAAAGATCCCACTCATTAGATGCACAAGAGTCAAACGAGCTGCAGAGGCTTCATTTTATAGCATACAGAGGTTTAGTAGGTTGACTTGAGCTGCCTCCAATTTGTTAGACCTGCCTCTCTTGTCTCTGTCCCTCCCTCAAAATATGGTCTCCTCAACCAAAACACTCCTATACAACTTTACATTTCATACATGTAACTTTTTTAGTATAAACTTGTAAAATTTAAAGATAAACAATAAATACTTTTGTAGGAATCTCACCCAATGTGATCCATCATTGCTCAACCATAATTATGATCTTCAACTCTGTCATAGTTTATATTCTCTCCTTCTCTTTCACAATCTTATCACGCACGCCCACACAATGTTCTGTTTGTAATTTCAAACAAACCATTTTATTTCTGGCGAAATGCTTTATGCTCCATTCAGTTTTGTTCCCAGCCTGATGGAGCACATATGTTCAGATCGTTCAGTTAATACAGGATGATTCCAGAGCAATCAAATTCAGACAAGTTTGTGCCTGACTTTATCTTTTGTTTGAGAAAATTTTATTGCACTGTCAATCGCAACACAAGATTTTATTTAATGCTACACCAACTCTACTCTGTGACTACCTCTTTCTCCTGCTCAAAGGCATTAACAGTGATGGGTTAACTGCATCCTTTCTATGCCACCTTAAACTAGGGATGCACTAATATGAAAATTTCAGCCAATATCGATATCCGATATAATTATTGCCGTTATGGCCGATAACCTACCGATATTTACCTACATTACACAAACACAAATTATATTATACTATACAAAAAACATGTGTGCAAAAAACACACTTGGGTCTTTTTCTGATACAATAAATAGGGTTGTGTATTGGCAAGAATTTGGCGATACGATACATACCGTGACAGAGGGGTCACGATACGATATATCCCGATATATTGCGATACTATAAACAAGGCAATATATTGCAATATATTGTGATTTTTTTTGTCCAAAAATTCTGTTAAATAAAAACCTCTTACAGGGAAAAAAAATGAAAAACNAAAAAGTGGGAAATCGATATCGGGCATTAATGGCGGCCCAGTTTTACATATCGGACTGATACCAATATGAATGTCGATATATTGTGCATCCCTACCTTTAACGTCCATCACTCAACACCAAGATGATAAGAAAGCATCTTAAGCCCTACTTAAAAGTGTTGTGTGGAAGAGGCTTCAAATACCTTTTGTAGTAGTCAATAAATGTCTCCAAATTGTGCTCAAAACAGAAGTATTTCATTTAAATTAAAAGGCTTTGCAGGAATTTCCAGGCTTTATGGCTGTTTTCTTTCCCACAGGATTGAGATCATTTGGTCAGCAGATGTAAAAGGGCTCCTACAATTGAACTGGGATTTCTGGTGTCATTTGATACACAATAGGGATGTCCCGATCAGATACTCAGTATCGGTGGCAGATATGCCCATTTTTTGAAAATCGGGTAGAATCAGATTTAGTCATGTGATCGGGCCGATCCAGTTTTCGCAACAGTTTTCAGCATCATCATGCTTTACAATTGCCGTTAAGAAGTCAAGACGCACACAAGTATGCAATCATGTCCATAGCGTGGGAACACTTTTCAGTGGAAAACAATGGCTACGT